AAAAGCGCAAGCAGAGGGAAAAGATAGATGATGAGTGAGTGAATAGATTTTAATTGCTGAAAAGTTTCAAAGCAAATGCAACATTAAGCAAAACTTCAGTACTTAGACTAGTTGTATGAAGTTTAATATTTTGAAATAAAGAATTGAGATGGAAGAGTGGCTATGTTTATATGTTTTCTCTCTTTAAAGTCTACAGTACCTTTGCTTGTTTTATAATCATTAAAAATTGAATGTGTCAATCGATGTGAAGCTTGAACATCTTCTCCTCTCCAAATCCCTTAGGCATTTGTACTTTTGAAGATTGCTCTTTCTAATTCCTGTCCTCAGGGGCCAACATTGTGTTCAATGCCCCACCCATTGAACAATTCTTTGTATGATCAAAGTATTTTGTTACTACCCTTGAGTTTTTTGCTTGTAAGAATCATTGTATGGTGTGAAAATTGTCTTTCTAAGCCATTTGCTCACCAAAGTAGACTCTTTACTTTTAAACTGCTCCGACCACGAAAACATGTGTATTATACTGGAAAAACTTGTCACTACCAGTTCAAATGCCCCATCCCAAATGCCCATGGGTTGCTTGAGGGGTGCAGGGGATGTTGAAGCTTCAAATTGATTGGCATGTTATTTAAAATGAAAAGCTTAAATTTATAAGAGAATGCAATTGAGAGATGTTTATCATTGAATTTTCTTTTTTTTTTATTTTTAGGAGAATCGGAAGAAATAAGCCAGCCAAAGAAACAAGGTTCTTTGCCAGCGATGGCCATGTGTTGAATATAAACCAAGGAAAGTGAGTAATTTTTTATATTCTCTGAGGTCAAAATGTTGTAAAAACAACAGTGACACTTTCAGTTACATTTTGTGTACCACTCTGTTGTTGTTACCACATAGTGGGATCCATTGCTGAACAGATGCATGGCAATGTGAAATTTATTTAGATGGAAATAGTAGAGATGGTAAAATGATGGTATTGAGAGATGGTATTGTGCAGTCAATCAGATAGCAGCATCTGTGATAGTATGCTAGTACATATATACTAAAATGAGCTAGTGAGATTTGCTCTACATGGTGGTTGGAGATCTTTGTAAAACCTCAAGAGAGCTTAAGTACTCAAAGTGTAGGCATGAAAGCACTGTTTGAACATGTTATGGTGTAAGATGTGGCCGGGGTAAAATAATTGGATCACTTTTCAAGACTTTCAAATTTGTTAATGAAGGTATCCTTGTTGTAAATTCTTTAGCTTACTAACAATCCCCAAGGTCTTACAAATGTCTTTTTTTAATCGTGTCTTTTTTTTTTTGGTATGATTTGACATCTCCATTTTTGTAGTTTAAAAATTTGTGTTGATTGTTTGGTGATACAGATGGGATTTCCAGTTTGACGATGATGAAGACAAAAATAGATTTGTTTTGGATTTACCTTGTTTTAAGTAAGTGTTGCATGGTTTTATATTATATATTTATATATTTTTGTTCTATATATCAATACTAGCAGAAATAATATCAGTGCACAGGCCGAGTGGCTCATACCTCAAGAGCCTCTGCTCTTTGCCACAACATGAAAGGACTTCAAAGTCTACGGCTCTCATCAAGTTTTCTGAAAAACCCCATTCCTCTCTCTGAATGTCGCATTATTTGCACATGTAATTTTGTAATTGCCAACATTGAGAGAGGAGAAGGGGGATCTGAGGTGGGAAAGTTGCAAGAATTATGGCAAAGATTGTGGGGGTATAAATTCCTTGGCAGCTCATTGTGTATAAATAAATATGTCGTAAGTAACGTATTATAGGTGTTGTGTTGTTAGCAATGAAATTTATGTAATGTACATAATGTATGCCATTGTCAATAAAGATTTGTAAAAATTGATTAAATAAAAGAAATACTTGATTCTTGTGCATGTGATACAGTTGAACCTTTATTAAGCAGCACTGTATTGAGCAGACACCCTTTTATTCCTTGTCTAACCCTTTAACTCCTGTAAGTGACCAAGATAGAATTTCTCTTCACAATATCAATACAATATCAAGCAGAAAAGTGATGAGAATAAGGAAAAATATCAGTTAGGGGATTATAAGTTGATCCAATACCAAATTCTCCAAACTAACATCACAAGAACTGTTTGGCAGACAGTAAGGAGAATTACTAATGTGATCATGGGAGTTGAAGGGTTAACTCCCAAAATCAACATCAGCACTTTGAGTTCAAATGTCCGAAACACATAGCAAGTTATATTTCTTCGTTGGACTGTTAGGACAAATATTATGCACTATGTACATTATGTAAGTCATTTTCTGGTCAACCTGTATTAAAAGGTCATTCCACCATTCCCATAGGTGACCTCCTAATACAGGTTTGACTACATATCACTTGTAAAATCCTTAGTGGTCTGTCAAAGTAAACACTCTGCTTATGTGTAATCCAGCCCTCTTGATTGAACAAGCTCAAAAAGGAAATCATTGTTGTGCAATTTTTTCCCTTCAAGGCACCTGGACACATCTCTTATTGATGTTGATGTACAGCCCACTTATGTGAGAGTAACAGTAAAAGGCAAGGTACCAAAATAGATAATACAAGAAAGTTGAGGTGGAAAGAATTATAGTTTATTTTTTCATTCTTAAACCTAGGTGCTAACAATTATGAGAAGAAAAGAACTTTTTAATTGGTAGGAATCCAGTGACCACGCAAAACATATGAGATAATGGGATTTACAAGAGTTTCACAAATTGGATTAAAATTATTTTGTTTCATTTACTTAGTCATCAAGGGTGTTTTATGCCATTTAATACATAGGAAAACTGGAAATTTGAGTTAGAAAAAACCAGTATGTATCATTAACCACTCTAAAAATGATGTGTTTGTTGTTTGTAGCTAGCCCTGAGCGAGCGTTAATTGAGTTTTGAACAACACACCCAAGGTGGTAATTTCTGTTAAATGTGCACTTGGCCCTTAAGCAACCTGTCCAGTTGAACCATAGATTGAAATTGGCTTTATAGAGATGAAAACATTTCAACACTCATACATCTACGATCAAAAGTTGTAAAGACATAAAACAAGTTCCGTATCCCAAAAACTGGCTGATCTTTCATCAACTTTTATTATTAGTGATGCACTAAATTGTGAAGTAACTTAACTTTGGTTTTGTAGCAAGGAAAACTGGCCTCATCACATAGTGAAGGGCTAACTGGCCTTTAGAGCTATAATTAGTTCTTAACTGGGTATTATTTGAATGTCGTAATTTTATAAAATGATATGAAAATGATTTTCAAACAAGTAACATAATTCTAATGTAGGTCTTTCAACTGGCTCTGTCCGAGGGAGTTAACCCTGACTCAAGCTCAGCCAAGAGATCTCAAACAACTGGTCATCTGATAATTTCAATGCCCAAGGTATGTCACACTTATTGGGCTAAAAGGAATTTTTGTTTTCTGTATTTTTGGATCCCCTTGCAAACAAACACAAACACAGTCACAGTTCCAAACAATTTGTTGTAACTATTGATGGTGCATTTTGGTTACATTTAAGGTGCGACAAGTTGTAAAGCCACTGAAGAAGACTTCACCAACCAAAATCGACCCAAGTCCTAGTAGACAAAAGCAAGAAGCTCAGCCATCATCAGAGCCAAGTAAACACAGCAGGTATCACAACAGCTGGAGCCAAACTAATTCTCATGGTGAAAAATTTAGCTGTGATTATGGTCACCTTAAAATCAACTGTTGATTAAACATTAAAACAGGCCAAACTCCTGACCATAACTTTGTTTGATATAGACACCAAACCTTGAAGCCGAAGTTAAGTTGGTATGGGTAGAACTTATTCGATTAACTCCCAGAAGTGATCAAAATGTAACTTCTTCCCATAATATCCATACATTATCCAGCAAACAGGTAATGAGAACAATCACACATATAAGGTTGAAGTTGTTATCTTGATCTAACACCAAATTCTTGTAACTAATTTACAAGAAAATTTGTAGCAGCTAGAAGGGAGAATTGACAATGAGATCTTGGGAGTTAATGGGTGAATCAATCAAGTGAAATTTCATGCACATTTACATCAAAGTTCCTACTCTTTTGAAATTATGAAATTCCTTGGTTCTCAAAGCTCCTTTTTGATATTTTCCACAAGGTATGATGAAAAGTCGGTTCCAAAATTAAGTAGTGGTTTTTGTTTTTACAGAATTCATCATGAACGATTGGAAGTTGAACCCAATATTAACAGTGATATGGACTTCAGTAAGATTGCAAACAACAGCCAAGACAAAACCAAACAAAGAGATTCTGGGAGAGTCAGCACTATCTCAGAATCAAAGGAGGAAAGTTTTGTTGATGATCCAGATGTTCCACCTCTCATATGACCTTCCATGTTAGACAAACAAATATTGATGTAAATACACCTTGTTTGATGTGTAAATATTGTTGTATTAAAAGTTTTCATACATTCAATAATTTCAAGCTGTTTCCTTTTCTGACTGTGAATATGCAAAAATCATCTGAACTGCAGATAAAGAAGTAAATATGAAAGCAATCTTTGCAGTAGTGAGTACTACTCAAGCAGTGGTAAAAATAAGGCCTGAAAAAAAAACTTCAGGCCCATACAAGATTTGAACCCATGACCTCTGCAATGTAAGTGTAGTGCTCTACCAACTGAGCTAGCAGGGAGAAGACCCTATTTTTGCCATTGATCAAGAGGTGTTCATTGCTATGAAGATCACTTTCATGGTCTAGATGGTAAGCAGAACTTCATATGAGTTTATAGGCACCCATTGTAGAATGTCGAATAAAAAAAGAATCCAACTTCACATTTTTTCATGGCTGAAGTCACATCTCACCAAGTGGGTTCTACTGTAATAGCCTCCAATGAGTGACATATCTAGCTACAAATATCACTCAACAACAAGCATACCAAACATTTTTATTAACATACATGTAATTTGTTCAAGCAAGTGCCTACTTAGCAAAACTCCAGCCAGATATTTTGAAACTTCAGTGAACAAACACAATGAACAACAACCCTAGTAGATTTTCTTTTTCAAAATTTAAACTAATTGCAACGTTTCTAAACTCAATCCAAAGAATCTCCCTCTTCTGATTTCTGAAAAAAGAAATAAAAACCAGTAAGAACACAAGGTCACTAAAACCAAGAACATTAACATCTCAAATTAGAAGTTTACTATATCAGATTTCTTATGAAGAAATGAAAGATAACACTTGTGACAACATGAAATTATTGGAAAAATGAAGCCCAGGATGATGAAGAAGACATTTACAAAATGAGAATGTACTCGGACATATCAAGAAATTAATAAAGAGGGTCAGTTTTTAAAGAAACTGTGATGCTGCATCAGTGGGAGTTATAAGTTGGTTTTATCAACTGAGTTGCTCATGTTAATTGGCCACCACAGAGAGTTTTCAATAGTATAGCTCCATCTTCTTTTATTTAAAACACAAACAACCCACAGTTCCTCTATTTGCTCTGACAAAGGGCTTATGCTTGGATTATCAGCTTTAGAAACTCTTTTCACTGGCCAATTTACATCATCAAGTCAGTTGATAACACTAACTGAACTTGTACTCAAGAAATGAAAAGAAATTAGCAACATCAGGTTTGTATGGGCAGCCAGGGTTACATAGCCATTTTCAAAATGGTGGCATCTATATTTCAGTTGTTTCAGATTTTTAAGAATATTTACAAATTGTTAGATTACTATTTGGAATCTCAAACACAGAGGGTATTTACTTTGTATTAAACCTTCTTACATGTAATTGCACAGATGAAAATTATAATGGTTTCTGAAGAATACTTGTATTATAAAAGAACACAGTCTATATCAAATAAGCCTCTCACATGAATACTTTTCACTTACTTCCTTCATACCAGTTGGTAAGCCATTGAGGTTTTCAACCAGCATTTGAAAGACATTGGGTGGTAATGTATTCTGAAACAGTTGCAAGAGTTGCTGAGGCTGTCCACAAACCAAAACAGCATTTGTTAAATGTTTTACAGCTTGTTCATATTCACCTAGAAGAAGAATACGAAAATCACATGACATACAAATCAATAAGTTGTGAAGAAAACATGAAGGGTTAGAAGTTTCTACTTGTTGATGAGTTTTCTAAGTTTCACTGTGATCAGTTAGGTATTTGGAAAAAATGTAGTTTATGTTAAAGCAGAAGAGGACTTTTTCTATGTTTACATAGCCTCATCTTAACATGGGGGGAGGGGGGGGGGGTTTGAGAGAGAATCTTATGCAAACCCAAGACACAGTGGAGTGTTTGCATAACTTTCAACAGTCCTCCCAGCCTCCTGTGAGTTTAGATGAGATGACTAACATGGACAAGTCCTTTACTGCTTCTATAAGAGACTTTTCAAAAGGCACAAACTCTCATCTAAACACACCTATCTACTGATGAATGTGTGTACAAACTTAATATTTTATAAAAGGTGACAACTTAGGTAACTTAGAATCTGACCATGTGTTAAAAGCTCTTCCCCTTGTTGAACCTCTTCCATGAAATATTGTTGAACAGCGGCTGCATCTGTCTTGTCAGGTGCACGGTTCTAAGGGGCAGAAAGGAATATTCCACATAGAGTATAAGGTTTGAAAATACTGACATTGGATCACATATTCTGATTATCCAGATGAGGGTGTTCCTGAGAAGGACTGTCGTCAGTCATGGTGACTGACAGTTCAACAACCAAAGCAAAAGTCAGCATCAGAATCCAGAGACAATGACTTCTGCTAAGGGTGTTGAAATATTATCACTGCAACTGACAACAGTCCTTCACAAGAGTACCCTCACTCTGGCAATCAGATTAAATGCTCAAATGAAACTTCAACAGTAAGATGGATATTCTTAACTGACACACTTCTAAAGCTACTTGTACAGAGCGACAGCTGGAATCCGCACTAAAATAAGCACTTCCAGTGTTGTCTGATTATTACGACCTCATCTAGAAAAATCTTTACATTTATTTCTTTTTTTGGATCTTACCTTAGTGTCTTCCTCCTTTTGAGCTAGCTTAGCTTGTCTCCTTCCTGAAAATCAAATGAAAACAAATTAATGATTCCTATGGTAAGTTAGGCTTGCGTAAATCTATATATTATTAGTGATTATCACAATGACAATGAAGTGATAATTGTGCACAACTCTTTTCTCTGTCTTTTACTTTTATTTTTGTAGCTCTGAGATTTTCATGTGAACTCAAACAATTTCCCCTTGTTGAAATTTTTCCATCTTCTCATCATCTTTCTGGTTGATGTTGTATTGATGTTGTAAGGAGAATTTACTGGGTGGTCACTTTAGAGAATGATGTGGCTAAGTTGTGTATATGTTCTTAGGCCAGACACTTTGTCTCAACTCAAAACTATAAATACAATGTAGATATTACCAAACAGAGTAATTAAACAGAATACTGATTGGTAGCTAGAAATCAGGCTCAAGCCTTCCTGCATAGATAAGGAACATCCTTGTCATTCAAGGACATTTTCCTGGCCCCCTGCCTTATAGTCTTTGTGGGATTCCTGTGGTGTTCATCTTGGAATAGGTATTTACTACAGTACAGAATGTAAATGCTAAGAAAACTGTTTTAGGAAGTTTTCACTGTTTCCAATGTGCACTGTAAGTTAAAGAAGAAGCCTCACACTTATAACTATAAAATCACTAAATACAACAACCATTAGGAAATAATACAGTTAACTATAGTAAACTCCTCTAAATTCCAAAAACGTTACATATTCCAGCTACAACCAGAAACAAAGATAATTTGGTATTATAACCTGAGTTGATGAGGTAAATTGGCCATCATTAACCCTTTAACTCCTGTGAGTTACTAAGACAAAATTTCTCCTTACAATATCAATACAATATCAACCAGATAAGTAATGAGAACATAGAAAAATATCAATTTGAAAATAACAAGTTGATCCAATACTAAATTCTCTGAACTAACATTATATGAATTGTATGGTTGACAGTGAGGAGAATTACAAATTTGATCTGGGAGTTAAAAGGTTAAGAGTTTAAAAGCTGACGTTTCAAGTATTAGCCCTTTGCTCTGATGAAGAGCTAATGCTAGAAACATCAGCTTTTTAACCCTTGATGGAGGCTCATTTAAATCTTCAACTCAGTTGATAATAGCAAATTACCTTGTTATACTCTCCCACCAACGCAGCACCACATTTTCCTTAGATACGCACCCCCTTAATTCATTTAGCAACAAAGATAGTCGACAAATTGGGGGTTTGTGTGACTGCTGTTTAAGACCTCAAGAACACACTTGTGTGTTGTTAATTTAAGGTAGAAATAAGACATGGAAATAGGCAATAACTGTGGTATGCAATGCAAAATTGGAGGTCTTGGTGAAAATGTGTTCACAATATCCTCGGTAAATTAAAGCTCTTGCACATCTACATTGCATAACGAGACAAACATGTTTTTCAACTGTGAAATTGTGACGTTAGAAAGTAACCACAAGTAACCACAATTATAACCAAAAATTTCCTTTAGATAACTGCAGAATCATCAAAAATTTTCACGTGATAATCATTAATTACTGACACAGCAGTTTGTAATAACATTTTTGGAAATACACTCACGTGTTACATCAGTTACACGGCCTCGCAAAATTGGAATCTTCCCTAATCATTCGACCACGAAAGTTTAAAATTTAGCAGAGCTTTTTAGGTATGAAAACTGATACTTTTTTATCTCTTCTAGCTTCCTCGTTAACTCTCTTCCCTCACAAACTTTAAACAAACTTACTCTCTAAAAGTTTCTGCTTGTAAAGGGGGTCGCTCCTTCGCTTCTTGTCAAAGTATATACAATATCCGAGGAAAAATGTGCCACAAATCCCTGCCACGATTCCTGCTATCAATCTAGAACTCATTTTTACGTCTGTTTAAAACATCAATAAGAGTATTTCCCACAAATGACGACGGATTTGGATTTGCGTTTGGCACCTTTCGATTACTTCCAGTAGAAGATACGCTAGTAAAGAGCATGTTGAGCTCGGTCGCTAAGGGTCTTCCCAGTTTTCTTTGCGGCATTAGTACTTTCTTTGATATTTTTTTAAACTTTTTTTAATATTTTTTTTAACGTTTACAAATTGTGTTTTAGGTCAGAAAAGGGGGAAATTTTTGAGGAAATTTTTTTTTGGTCTGCTTGGGTAAGGTCAAACCGGAATTGCGGAAGGGTTATGCGACAGTTGCGCTTTCTCTGAATAATATGTTAATGTCGGAACGATATGGAAGAACATTTTGAGTTACAAGCTGCCAACAGAAAGAACTAGTAGTGAGTGAAGTGGTTCGAAAAAGGATGCGAAAGTGACGCTCTTTTCGAAACATAGAATTATAAACTAATATCATATGGATTCAGCGTGAGAATTTGTCAAAACAGATCAGACAGGACTCCAGATGGACTGCATTGAAGCAGTGAAGACCTCCACTGTTTCC